GAATCCGAGTTAAAGCCGAAGACACCCATAAGACGGCTTTCTGAACTCATGAGGGTCACTACGAGTTCCTCGTGATGCCGTTTGGGCTAACCAATGCCCCGACCACGTTCCAGTCGTTAATGAATGATATTTTTCGGCCCTTTTTGAGAAAATTTGTTCTAGTGTTTTTCGACGACATTCTCGTGTATAGCAAGAATGAAGAGGAACACCGAGCACACTTGCAACAAGTTCTCACGAAACTGGCTCAACATGACTTGTATGCTAATTACAAGAAATGTGAATTTGGGAAGTATGAGGTTGCTTATTTAGGCCATGTGATTTCAAGTCAAGGAGTGGCCATGGAACAAGAATAGATAAGGGCCATAATCAGTTGGGCTAGCCCACGAAATTTAAGGGAGTTCAGAGGATTGGGTTTGACTGGCTACTACCGCAAATTCGTGGCATGCTATGCCCAATTAGTCGGGCCTCTTACGTCTCAACTCAAGAAAGATGCGTTTGGGTGGTCCGAGGAAGCGGCTCAAGCCTTCGAAAAGTTGAAGGTGGCGATGACCACCGCTCCGGTGTTGGCTATGTCGGATTTCGGCAAGGAATTTGTTGTAGAAACCGATGCTTCCGGTTATGGACTTGGGGCCGTGTTGATGCAAGAAAACCAGCCCATTGCATTCGTAGTAATCTCTTAGGAGTAAGGGCTCGGGGGAAGTCCATCTACGAGAAGGAACTCATGGCTATTTGTCTAGCCATAGTCAAATGGTGGCATTACTTGTTGGGCCGACACTTTGTTGTTCGGACCGATCAACAAAGTTTGCGGTATATTACTCAACAAAGGGAGGTGGGTATGAATACCAAAAATGGATGCGCAAACTAGTCGGGTTCGATTTCGAGGTTCGTTATAGGCCGGGGGCCTCCAACCGAGTGGCCGACGCCTTGTCTCGTAAGGGGTGCGAGTTTGGAGCCTTAGTGTACACTCAAGGAATGGGAAGAGTTGCAAAAGGAAATTGACACTAATCAGTGGATCAAGGAGCTCAAAGAAAGTTTTGGGCCAGACATGAAAGGGCCCAATGGATTTACTTATGAAGAGGGATGAGTCTTGTATAAGGGAAGGATAGTTATTCCAAAATCATCCAGCATAATCCCAAAATTACTTAAAGAATATCATGACGCTCCCACAGGAGGTCACGACGGCGAGGTAAAAACATACCTCCGGGTGGCGGCGGAGTGGTACTGGCCGGGCCTCCGCAAGACCGTGGGAGAGTACGTGAGGAGCTGTGATGTTTGCCAGCGCAACAAGGCGTCGCAAAGGCAACCGACGGGGCTGCTGCAACCCTTACCGGTGCCGACGGCGGTCTGGGAAGAGGTTTCGATGGATTTCATCGAAGGGTTACCCATTCCAAGGGGGTGAACACTATTCTGGTGGTTGTGGACCGTCTATCAAAGTACGGGCATTTCATAGGGCTAAAGCACCCATTCGACGCCGTTAAGGTGGCCGGAGTTTTTGTCAAAGAGATAGTTCGGCTGCATGGTTTTCCCTCCTCTATTGTCTCTGATCGGGACCGCATTTTTATGAGTATTTTTTGGCGTGGGTTGTTCCGGCTACAGGGGACGCAATTACAAAGGAGTACCGCTTATCACCCGCAGTCCGACGACCAATCTGAGATTGTGAACCTGCGTTGCTTCGCATCCACCCAGCCCAAAACTTGGGCCCAGTGGCTGTCGTGGGCGGAGTATGCTTACAATACTTCACCACACAGCGCCACTAAGACCACCCCATTCAAGGTGGTCTATGGTTGTGAGCCACCTAAGTTGTGGCGTGTGCAATCGGCCTAACAATGGTGGGGTCCTTGGAGGAGCAATTGCGCGAAAGGGATTACATGCTCGATGAATTGAGATTGAATTTGTTGCGTGGCCAACAATTAATGAAAGAGAATGCAGACAAACACTAGAGAGATGAGCAATACGAAATTGGAGATATGGTCTTTCTCAAGCTCCAGCCTTACCGTTAGAAATTATTGGCCAAACGGCCCTTCGAGAAGCTTATAAGGAATACGGGGACAAAAACGGGTACGGATACGGGAACGGGATACGGCAAATTTTTTTTTCATCATTCATCAATTAACAACTATTTGTTGTAAATATCAAGTGTATCTATTTTTAACAAGTTGAGCTTGTAAGGAATTAAGTGATTAATGCATATTGATTAAAGTGATTCGATAGAGGTTTACATGTTTCTTGACTTGATTGGCTTAGCTACCCTTGATTGGTAGCATGATCGTAAGATCTAAGTTTGGCATGAATATGAGCTTAGGTTGTTTTAATTGAATGCATGTTGGGCTTCCAAAAAGAAGCACATTAAAAAGATGGAGGTTACGGAAATGCGCATGTTAAGGTGGATGTGCGAGAACACTCTAAGAGATAGAATCATAAAAGAGGTTATTCGCAAGAAAGTAGGTGTGATAGGTGTTGCAAACAAACTAAAGGAAAATCACCTGTGTTGGTTTGGGCATGTAAGACAAAAATCTGAGGGCGCACCGGTACGAAGACTGGAAGAGTGAGACCATGGAGGGGTTAAACGAGGGAGAAGGAGACCAAAAATGACTTGGTTGGAAGGAGTTAGGATGGATATGAAGTATATGGATTTGCATGAGGATGAGGCATTGGATCGTAAGGGATGGAGGAGGAAGATTTTTGTTGATGACTACACGGAATAATAAAATTTGGTTCATTTTGCCGACCCCACTTATGGGATTAAGACTTTCATTGATTGATTGATTAGGCCTAGGAGGGATCAAAGCTTAGGAGTTGGAGAATTGGTTTTGTATACTGTTAGTTGCTCTCTACGTTCTAGTTTTTGCTAAGCTTTAATTGATTAATTGCTCTCTACATAGTCATGGCTAAGCTTTAGTTTATTCATACCCCAATTATCTTGATTACCATGATTTTGTGTGGATCCCCATTCCCTACTGTTTTAAGTTTGATAGAACTTACCTAAGTTTGTTGCTAGACTTTGCTTAGTTGTTAGACCAAACCATTTCTCCCAACTTCGATTTAGCTTGATACACAACCTTTGCATTTCATCCCGCTTTTCCTCGTGGCTTGACCCTTCACTTGCCACTACTTGTTAGTAGCTTGTTTAGGTGTAATAATTTGTGTTTAATAGTGTATAGTTAGAAAATGACCTACTTTTACATCTATGAACATCCTTTTTTTCCTACAATGAGTCAGCGAAACCCAAATCTTGGATAGTTTAACTTATCATCTTCAATATAGAGAAGAATGTTTTGATACAAGAACAACAGAACCAAACACTTGTTATTGTTTGACATGAGACGATCGAAAATATTCTTTATCCAACCACCCTTTTTTTTAATTCTTTTTGAGAATATTTGTTCTTGAAAACAAATTTCACCTAAAACATTTAGCTTTGGTATGTCATCTTTCACTATAAAAAAGCCCATATCACCTTTAAAAGTTTGAAACCACTTTAAGTTCAAGGGTCTTGGACTCTTCTTTAAAGTTTATCTGTTCTTGAAACATGTTTCTGCATACTAGAAGGGCTAAAATAACACAAATGGGTAAATTTGAAAGATCCAGTTTATTGTATTAAAATTATAATTTTATGAGGCTTATAATTTATCTTAAATCCACTAAGATATAATTTCTAAGGGGCTTGTAATTTATCTTAAATTCACTAAGATACAGTTCTTAGAAATGTCATAATTTGTTCTCACTAAAGTCTGCTAAATATATGGAACAATTAGTTATCTTGTTTAGCTACCTGTTCATCAATGTTGTATTAGCTTTGTCAAATATACATAAAACTTTGTCAAATGCCGTACCCTGTTTTCCTTGTATCAATTTGCATGCTCATACTATTAAATATAATGGTGCAGTATATATTTTGCCTATTTGGTGTTGTCCAAATTTATGTCACATGGAAAGCCAGGGATTTCTTAAAATTCTTATTGCAATCAACGATATACGTGATTAGGCCTTTACTAAAAATAGTTGACCTCTGGTTTTAAGGACTTTTGATGTAATACACCATTTTGGATAAATCTTGATTTTTTTTTTCCCTTTTGTCAGTATAGTTTGACATAATTGCACTTTGATTGCTGTGGGGCTGCCCTCAAACATAAATTCTTCTGACATTACTTGGCTAACTTGATTATTCTGCGGTCTATTTGATCAGAGAGCTCAATTTGAGTCATTTCATGAAATTGATAAAATTCTCCAATTTTATGTTTGGATGAAGAAACTATCTTATGCACAACTTAATTTAGATGATATAAGTTGGCTGCCTGAATCAGTTGTAAATACACTCATATTGTCTTGAGTGCAATTGATAGCCGAAAACTAGTAATATATAGTAGTGATGCACCATTCACCTTATCATTGGACTTCAGAACAATATTTCTACTAATGTAGTTCTTATGTATCCAAATAATTATTTTACCTTGTTTCAAAAATTAATTTTTTACCTGTAAACAAATTTGGTACTTTGGTTTTAAATGAAATTTCATTAACTTAATTCTGACAGGTTATCTTTCTTTTCTAAATGAACTTGGTCTGTTAGAAATTTGATGGAGCTTTTCAGAATTAGTTGATGTACTTTTTTTGTTATAAGTTAACAGTGTTGGAGCCATTAATATATCTTTGATAATACAGTGTCACAGTGTCTCTTAACTAGAACAATTAACATGATTATCTCGGTAAATTTATTTTGACATGCATCACTCACTGTTCTCTTTCCCAGAAGCACAAATTATAGGATTTGTACTTGTACTCAGTTGTATTGATAGCTTGCAGCAGAGTGCAACTGGAAGCAAATTCCACTATTGAGTATATGCATAAACAATATGGATTGTGTCGATTCAAAAATTTGAACATGCAGTTCACAACATTATACATTTAAAAGTATCAACTATGCTTGACTTAATAGGTTTTGTTGCCGTCAGAATTCTCAGAAAATCCCTGAAACGGGGAAACCAATGAACAATGCAAAAGCAGCAACCATTATTATGACAGTATTAAATCTAAGTGATGTGCAATGTTTGGTTCTATGAAGTTATGCTGTATAGCCTGTATTTACTAGTTACAACATTTTAGCACATAATATTCGTGATTTTCAAATAGCTGAATGGAAGAATAAAAAACCGCCTTTACTTTTTTTCATTATCTATATCCTGTATATCATCCTTCTCGCTATCTTTTAACAAATTTTGCTCATAGATGAATTGGCTGAGCAAACCAATAAATATTGCTCCAAGAACACCTATTTTCCGCCAGTGTGAGGAAGCAATATATGAATCAGCAATACCGACAGCCATGAGACCCATCAGTGCAAGGTATATATTTCTTCTGAACTTGGATGCAGCAGTATCTTTAGTAACAGCAGCAAGTTTATTTGTTTCCTCTCTGGCCTTTTCTTTATCCACTGGTTTCTTTTTCTGCAGGCTCTGAAAGAACAATCCTTCATTTCGCCCCTTTACGATGTCACCTTCAAAGTCGGCCAACTCCTTATCCCTCTTTGCAATCTCCTCCTTGCTCATCTCTGATGATTCCTCAAAGGCTTGCATCTTGCTTTCGATATTCTCCATAATCTGCTTATCATAAATCGGATCAAGTACTGTGTTACAAAATATTAAAATTTCAAATGCGAGGAAGAAGAATTAAATTGATGAGCAGACCCGAGCACTGGCTTCATCTAGATCTTTTAACGCGTTTTCACCGATTGCATCAATCTCAATATTGGCTTCTTCAGCAAATTGAGTCAGATAAGCAGACCGCTCGTCCAAGTAATCAGTAAGTCGATACTTTTGAGCTTGAAGCATTGCTATCCTGGCCAGTAATTCTTGTTTCTTTGGGTCTCCTTGTGGTTGGGAACCCTCTGAGTTCAAGTCCTTGGGTACGGACCGGCAAAGAGGGAGTGAGCACAGCTTCCATAAGGTCCTTGGACGGAAGGTCGGATGCAGGATATTGCTGGTGTTGTTAAATGGGGTTTGAATGATCTTTACTCCAGCCATTTTCTTTCTGTTTTTGTTGTTGAATGAAATGTAAAGTGTTAGCGAGGTCGAATATTGTCGACCTCTCGCTAGAGTGCCGTATGTTATCTGTTTTGCCCCAAGTTATAGGTGTCTAGTGTCTACGCTATGTGGGGTTGCTAGTTTATATTGTGGCCGAAGTTCATGTCGTTTTGCACATTTACCGAGCTATGGAGTATCTAATTTTGTACGTAGTATTCGATTTGATATAATATAGCTGCCTTCTCTGCCAAAAATCTAGATTTGTATACGCCGTATTTTCTTAAAAAAAAAAAGAATAGTAATTTGAAAAGGTTACAATAGAGCTGTTAATTCGGGTATTCAAGTCGGGTTCCGGTTGGGTCAAATTAGGTCTCAGGTTAAATCAGGATCAGATTATGTCAATAATCTAGCCTCATATTAGGTTCGGGTCGGATCAATTTCGATCAGGTTATTTCGATTCGTTCACCCTTTCTGGTGTAGGTCGTGATTTGGGGTATTTAGTATCCCCAAGTGGATCAATGAGAGAGCGACACGTGTCATTCTCAGAGGCGTCCAAATGGACTCCCTAGATGGATGACACGTGTCACTCAGATATGCCCCCTGGGAATGGTGGCCTTCAAGGCCCAAATCCTAAGGGGCGCCGCAAAACGGCGCTGCCCTAATCCCTGGGTCATCAAACCCTAGGGTAGGGCACGTTTTCCTAAGACCTTATTGTTTTGGGGAAAATTACCCCGCCACGTGAACCACTTAAAACATGACATGTGTCCACCCATAATTGGTCCCAAAGGAGCCAATAACAACATGACACGTGGAATCCATAGTCAATAGAAGAAAATGGAGGCCTTCATAGGCCCAATTCCTGAAAAGCCGCCAAGCGAGTGGGCAGCCCTCCAAATCTAGGTCAAATGACCTACGTAAGGGCACATCTTACCAAAATGACCCTATAAATTGGGAGATTTCCCCCATTTGTAGGATAGATTGAATTTATTAAAATATAACTCACATTCTCTTACATCAGAAAAATTTCTTGATCTCGGAATCCGAGAAGATCTCGCTTTTACCTTTTTTCGCACTTTTTACTCCATCACGTTCTAACTTGATCGTTGGAGGCGGAGCTCCAACCACCTGGAGTTTCCGTTGTTTTACAGGTACAGGCGCTTCCCGACCAGTCTTCGAGTCGTAACTCTTCCGAGATACAAAAACCCCCGAAACATTTGGCGTCGTCTGTGGGGAGAGTACCTTAAAGATGGTTCAAGAGTTTGTACCACCTCCTAACCTTACTATTAATTAGCCAGAGGTCTTCACTTACCATGAGGATGAGGATCCTCAAGTTGAAACGTACATAGCCAAAGATGGCTCTTTCATCACAAAACACATCTGTAGGGAATATTTCAAGTATTACCCCAAACAAGAGTTGGCTCAAGTGGTAAGCAACTTGATGTCGCTTAAGGGAGGTCTCGGGTTCGAGCCTCACCATATGCAGAAACTCTTGTTGGGAGACTCACCCACCATAAGTCAGGTGTGCTACCCGAGTCGGATCCGGATGTAGTCGGAGCTAAGCTCTGGTGAACCGGGTGGGCAACCTTAAAAAAAATATATATCAAGCAACATGATAATAATAATAATAATAATAATTACAATTAAAATAATCATCATCATAAAATAACAATCATAATTAATTATAATCAAAACAATCATGTTAAATCATAATAATAGCAAAATCCTAGGCATGATACTAACAAGATTAATAACAAAACCTAGCATGTCACTAAACATTAAATATCAAAGCTTTAGCCCTAACATGATACTAACATGTCATTAGGAAAGAAAATAGGAAGCATTCTGTTAATCATACTTGATATTAGGAATTTTTAGTTGTTAACCCTAAACATTAATAAAACATCCTAACATGATACTAGGAATCAAAATAACTATCTAAGCATGGCTTCTATATCATAATATCAATTAAACAATTAAAGCACTTACGTGTTAGTAACTTCAAGGAAAATATAAAATTAAAGAATTAAATTAAATAATTGAAATAAAGGTTTGGGACCAAACCTTCAGAAATATCAAACCTTTCACGTCTAGGGCGAAGGCAACTTCGAATTTGGCTAGGTATGTCTAGATCTTGTGAATGCGGAATTTTGTTTGTAAAAAGTTGGTTTAGAAAAGAGAGAGAGAAAATCAAGAAATTCTTGATGAGAGTTGGTGAGAATTGATAATTAAAAACGGAGGTCTAAGGACACTATTTATAATGAAATAGTCCGCAATTGATAAAACGAATCAGAGTTCGAAAAGAAATAAAACACGCCTCTGTCGCCAACAATGGCTCCTGTCGCTAGGCGACAACCTGACGTTTGGCGCTGCAAACAACTTTTCCACACGTTTTCTAGTTTTTGATAAAATTAAGTGGTAAAAGTCCGTACGAGGGATAAAATAGTAATTTCACATAAACACTTTTTTTTTTATTTCAAATAATGCTCATAAAACTTAATTATCAATTGTAGACACCTAAAAATGTCTCCCCAAAACCAAACCCCATGATGAACAACCTTTCACCGCCATTATTGGTCGGGTTGTGTATTTAATCTTGGAGTGCATAAATCCATATTTCCATTTCATAAACCAACCCAACTTCTAGCCCATTTCCCCAAATCATAAATTATTTTCCTCTTTTCGTGCCTTTAAACCCAAAATAATTCATTTCGTGTCCTTTAAAATCATTCATTTCGTGTTCTTATTATAAAAACGTTTAATCAAGTTTATTTTGGTCCATAATCTGGGCCGAATGATTAAATAGTTGGATGGGGATTTAAAAGAGCTTTCCAACTATATATTATAAGCACAAATCCGAGTTATAACGAATAAGTTATGGCCAAAATATTAAACCGAGCCCAAACCGAATCTAAGCCCACCTTACCTACGACCCAATGATTATGTGGAGGGTTCAAATGATATAATCCAATTCCTAAACCAATTAGGATTAATTAGAAAATTCTATAAGTTTCTAAAAGATTTTAATTATTCTTTTTAAAAAGATAAGATTAAAGAGTTTGAAATTGAATAAAACTATTCATTTTTTAAAACTCCTAATTTTATTCGAATAGAAAGACATTCAAAAATAGAAAGATATTATTTTCGTGCCTCATAGTTTTTATCCAAATTTTATATGGTTGGATATCCCTTTAAATTATATTTCCAATGATATATTATAATATCAATTCCGAGCTATAACGGAAAAGATATGAATAAAATATCAAACTCTATCCAAAACTGACACCGTCTCACTATTTTGCCCATATCTTTTATTCTATAAAATATTTTTATCTTATTCTAACTGGGTTATAAAGAAGACTTCAAGATCTTTCTAAAGATATCTTATTCATCTTATTCCGATTTATGAATCAAAAGATATGATAAAAACAAAAACCGCAAAAACTGCAGTCTATCGAGTTTTATTCCGATTTAATTCGGATCTTATCTTAATTCTTCGACCCTTCTTTCTTTTTTTCCTCTATAAATAGAGGTCATGTAACCCCTTTTTCAATCATCAACAAGCTTGATCATCAAATAATTCTCTTCTCTCTCTTTAGCCTAAATACTAGCCACCCTATTCTCTCAAAATACTTCCTGTAATTAAGCACTCCAAGGAGTTCATACAATACCCAAAGTTCTATACTTAAACCAAGGCGTGAAAGGTATAATTAACTGAGGGTTTGGACCAAATCAAATCTACATTAATTTAATTTAATTTTCATTTGATATATATTTTTATTGAAGTTACTAACAGTTTATTCATCATGACGTAGCAATTCAAGGAAACGCGGAAAGTGAGTAATTAATCACTTAATTACTCTTATTTTTATTCTTGGTGCTAGTATCATGATCAGGTTAATTTATATTTGATTTGACTAACGCTATTATTGTTGAATTGCTTCCAATATTAATGTTTATTCTATTGTTATTATGATCACCATATTGCATGTTTAAAGGGAATATGTAATTGAAAATCACGCCTAATAGATAATTTGGACAACCGGTTTAGGATCCTTTTTAATCTTGTTGTTTAATCAAGTGATCATAAATATTTTAGAATTATATGTTGCATTAATATTAAACCAATTTAGCATAATAATAGTTTGGAGCAAATTGAATCTTTGTTTGCATGCCTTTGAGATTACAGGAATCACTTTTCACTATAAGAATTGAGTAGAGGCCAATACGGGCGAATGTGACTCCATGACTCACTTTGTACCATCATCCCCGATTCTCCTTTCATGGTTCCGAACCATATGGAGTTAGTAATATTATGGATTATGAATGGGGTATAACCTTCACGGGTCAATCGTTGTTGCCTTCGTTGTCCCTTTTTATCGTGGTTGTCTTTTATGATCCGTGAACGGTTTACAAGTTCCTTAAAAACTTGTTGGCGGCTCCCTACTTTCCTTGTCCCTAATTGTATACGTCAATTCCTTCTTCCTAAGAGTACCAAGCATATTCACACATGCTTTAACATAGGCGCATTTCGAGCGACGCCTACAATTTGGCGACTCCATTGGGGACGATTCTTGATTATTTATTGATTTGAGTGATCGGTATTTAATTAAGATGAGTGGATGAGACTTGAAAGATTCTTGAATTGTATTCCTGCGATTTAATTGGCATTGTCACATATGCATATGCTTTTTAGGTTACCTATTTTTCCACAATAGTACGTGTTCTACGTATGTAGCTAGCCCGGGGGGTTTATGCTCTATCAACCCAAAAACGTTCATGACAATAAGGGTTCATCCGAGTTTTTTAAATCCACCCAAACCATGGAATCGAGTTCGGATTCATCACGAACTCGCAGAGCCGCCCGTTGGCATACACCCTCAAGGGAGGTTGCCTTGCTAACGCGTCCAAACTCTTAACCATGGTACCCTTTGACACCAAAAAGCTTGACCATAGTGGAACTTCGATCTTGACTTTAGATTGCGAACTTCATTGCATCATTCGTGACGATGTGCTTATATGTGCATTTTCTTATTCATTTTTAATATTTTTTTTTATTAAACCCTTTTTATTTTTATTTTTTTTAGAGCCAAGTCATAGAATTTTTTTTTTTAATTTTTGAGTCACCCAGATTTTTATTCTCGTATACTGCACAAGAGTCAACTTGTTTTGGTCATATCCGGAGTTCTATAAAGAGTTACGTGTCGTGCCACCTATGGATCTGTAGCCCCGAGTTTTATCTTTCATTTGAAATTAGTTTCGTCCCAATAAGAGTCACAGATAAAAATTTATAACCGATATACTACATCCTGTCCAGTTTAGTTGTCTTTTTAGCTTCAACTTTCTTTCTTTTAATTTTTTTTTTTAATATCTTTTAGTTTCAAGCTAGTCTTAGCCAAGTC